CCCCAAAACCCCAAAACCCCAAAACCCCTTTTAATACTCTGAGGTTTGAACTTTTCAAAATTTGATGATTATTCTTCTTGAGGTGTCAATTTGTCACAGGTATTTTCAAGTAAACCAAGAAGCATTTCCTCGTTTTCTTCTCTGATTTTCTTCTCGTCTTCAATCTCTTTTTGAATTTTGGAACTCATATCAACAATAATCTCGTTCATCGCTTTTTCTGTTTCAGCAAGTGAGGCTTTTTGATCATCTAGGGATTCATCGAATCTGGAGGTTTCGTCTTCAATACGTTTCATAATTTCATTATCGACTTCATCAAATTGGGTATAATCATGCGCGAAATGATCAGTGTACTTCAAAGAGTCTATCGACTCAAACCTCGCTTTAGACTCTTGTGCAATTTCACCTCTAAGTTTGGTCGCTTTTTCATCAAGAAGGCCCATTAGTTTATTTTCAGTCTCTCTTCTGTCATCAGATTGTTTATCAAGCAAGTCAAGGATCCTTCTTCACATCACTGAGGGCCCTGAAAGAGTGCTGATGGATGTATGTGAGTCTGATACAGACATTTCAGGAGAGGAATTGTCTTGATTTTTCAACTCTGCCAGCTCTGCTTCCCTCTCATTCTTAATTTGTGCGATATTCCTAGACATTTTAAGTCAAATTTCAATGAAAATAAAGGTTTCGCTTACTTAAAAATCTTGGTGAGTTTTTCCTGAATACTATCGAACTGAGTATTATTGTCTAAATCTAGTTTAAAGGATTGTTACTTTCATGCCATTTAAGAATTTGGTCATCGAGGTCATTGATCTTCTTCTCCTGGATCTGGTTTCGCTTGTTGCCACCTTGAGAACCAACACCAGAGCCATCATCCTTGATTGATTTCATAAAGGTTTCAAGTTTGTTACTCAGCTGGAGCACTCTTTCCTTATAAGATCTGTTAGCCACAGAGGAGTATGTCTGGGAGTGAGTATTCATGTTTTCTAAATTCAAATATTTTAACTAACATTGGGGTTTTGGGGTTTTGGGGTTTTGGGGTTTTGGGGTTTTGGGG